TGTAGTGACTTAGAAGATTAGAAATAGGTTTACCTCGAGCTCAGGAACCGCCGGTGCACATTTGATTGAGACTAATAGCGGAACTTTGGCCATGGTTTTTGAGATCCATATTATCCTACCGGTAAAAAAAGCAGACTAGAGTTAGGTTCGCGCGAATTCGGATCTAGGTTCAGGCATACGGGGGTATCAAAAAGATCGAAAAAACCCTGGCCTTGCGTAAAACCTTTTGGCTTTTTGGGACGTGGTTTATGTATCGATCTTTTCTTCTCTGGAAATATGGTCTCCTTAGTTTGTATGAATTTACTTACCCAAGAGAGCATTCGAAGTAGGCCAAGTAATGAATACTCTTCATTTCCACAATTTTTGTTTGTATGCGGTCCCACTCCAGTCCGGAAACGCTAGGAAGTTACGAGTACATGTACTCATATGTTGGCAAGTACTCCCAAAAGGTATCGTGACCTACGTAACTCTTCCTTGTAACACAAAAGGATTTATGAAAGCTCCAAGGTTTGTTGACAGAGCCAAAAAGTTTCTATCTCGTTGAGAAGCCTCTGGTCGTCCTTTCTTTGGCAATCGGGTTTGATATAAGTTCTCGTTTCCAATGTAGCCAAGTAACATATTATTGCCAGTGTATATATGGATCATAAATTACTCCGAGAGATTGGGTATATAACAGGTTCATTGCCGGAAGCTCTATGCACTCCATTCAAAATCTGACAGTGCCTGAGATTTAACCTTCCCGAATTTGATAGCGATATGAGCCTTTTATTTGAAGGGCTTCAGACTCAGTTAACTAGCGGATTTCTCTAGATTTTTGATGACGACGTAAAGAATACTTGTCCCTCCAGGGGGTGCCGTTTCCATTTGGACCTCACCCGTAAGTCTGTCTTTGCGGCTATTGTAGGCTAGATTATTACTGGTTTTCTTGGAATACCTCCATGCATGTACACCTAGGTGACCCCTAGGCTTTGACTCCTGGGATGGATGGTTATGATGAATTTTTTGCGTTTGAACGTTTATTCCAGGGTAGCATTCAGAAGTTGATATAAATAAGCCTCTCGGACGACTTTAGAGAATCAATCCAGGGGGTTGATATGCATTGCACGGGGGAGTGATCATCCGCATATATATGCACGGAGGTGATGGGTGTTTCTCTCCCAGTCCCGAGGTATACCTTAAATTTACAACTATAAAACGTGCGGATTAGTCTCAACCAGTACAGGGTGCTTAAAGCAAGGGCGGCCTTTTACAATGTCAAAGCTGCACAGAAACTTCGCGGGAGGCGCTCACAAGCCACTTCAGGCGGGGAGCTGATAGTGCATATCATATATCTAGGTTGAAAATACATGGCTTTTCAGATTTGAGCGATTGCTATTATGTACTCCGTAAAGACCAGAATTAGAGCTGGAGGGCTTATTATCACTCCTGAGTCAGGTTAGAAAGTACACACAAAGCTGAGAATTCTCGAAAACGTACGCAGGTTCTACCCCGCCAGTGTAATTCCCCCGAAAATGACGCTCGTTCCAGAATGTCCCCAAGCAGCAATCCTTTTAGCTCCGTGAAGAAGGTCTATTCGTTTAGCCATGCATTGCCACTCACACAGTGCTAGTACTAGAGCAGTGATCAAATAAAAGTTGACTTGACGTGTGGGCTTTAGTGCAGAGAGCCAAATTCTCAGATCATACCGCTGTACTACCCTTATATCTCGATCCCAACAGTCATACCTACCAATAATAATAGAAGCAAATTAGACAGCTAATGCTGCTGATGATAACAGTCTTAGTGATGATTAGGGAGCCACTGCAGTGGCTTGGTGAGCGGTTTCATCTCGATTATGAGACCTGTACCGGTGTCTTTTCCAAAGGGACGGCTATGAATTGTTTTGCAGCTGTTCGACAAGCAAGGCTGAAGGGGGCTCTGTACAACATCGAAGTTAAAGGCTGACGGCACTGGTGATAACGGCTGAAGTTGTAACGTTTTCTAAAGGTACTGGAGGCAAGGAGGGAAAGCATCGGGACAGCTATTGAAGGGATGGGGGAGGATTCCAAGGATCATACCCTGACTCTGGGCACAAAATATCAGCAAAGAAGAAAAAGGAAGAAAATAAATACTTAGTGGGGTTAGCCCTCTTCCTTGTGAAGAGGAAACATCGGCCAGTGGGAAGAGCAACTAGATGACCATGACCGTCCCTTGGTTCTTAGCTCGAGGTCCCTCGAGACAGCGGTAATATTACTGTTAGAGCTCCGGACGCTGCCCCGCCTTTTACTGGACATCGATCGCTACTCTGACTAGTTTGAGAATTGAATTTTGCTACACATTTGGTCACTTTGTCACGATTACAGTTAAAGACTTGTTGGACTAGCAAGATACCAATTTTTTGTTTAGATCTTGAAAGGTTGAAAAGATCTGTCTAAAAGAAAGAGCAGATCAAGACGAAAGAGAAAGAAAATAGTTAAAGAAAAAAGAAACTAAGGAGGAAAGAGAAAGAGAACCAAAGCCAACGTTGAATACCTCCAGCACAAAAGAAATACCAGATGCCGAAAATAGTACCAAACGATTGCCCCCGGGACTCGAGACCAGTTTTGAAAATTTCTATAGTAGATGTCAGGAACTACTAACTATCAAAGTCAAAGGGGAAAGTAGGGAAAGGGAGGGAACATACCGTCCGCAGAAATATCAGCACCAGACTCAAGAGCCCTTGCTACCTCAGTTCGGCCCTCCGGGCCTAGTAAGGATGATGTATCCATACTGGGCGTTCTCGAGATTCATTCTTCCACCGGTCGAGACGACTGTGTGGCACTTCTCCATGATGGATCCAACGGTGGCGAAGAGGCTATCGCAGTCGTAGCTGACGGGAGTGGACCAAATGCGACGGTCCAAGTCCTTGGGAGGGCAGATGCGAATTTCGGCAGTCTTGTAGGTCATTGGATAACATCTGGTGGACATGGCAGGGAGCCTTGGACGGTTGGTACGGCAGGTCGTAATGAACCTTACCAACAGGTCCTCTGCATCCTGGAGGTTGGGGTTTTCACCAGGAGTCATCATGCGACAGTCGGCAACAGCTGCATGAGTGAAGGGGGCGAGAAGGACGAGGAAAACAGCGAAGATGGTGATGCAATTGAAGAACATCTTGAGATTGATTGGATGGGGAGTGTTCTGGTGAAATACCTTGACTGGATCGAGGGTTCTTGGTAGTGGCGTGGATGTAAAAAAGAAAAATTTTTGGCTAGGAAGGGGAAAAATAGAAGAAAGGCGACTGACTACATCTATTTATACATTTAAAGTTTTCCTTGGCCGTTAGGTGTCATAGTATGGAACAAACGTTTTTTTTCTTTTGGTTTATCACCACTTAGTGATCCCGTGGGCACCTCTTTGGGCTTTTTATGAGATGCGAACCAACATGACCATTGATTACTGAGGTCAATTTACCTAGGCCTAAATCAAGAGTTTGAGATTTGAATTGATATCTGGACGCTGATTAAGCCTCTTCTCAGAGCCTACTTGAGCCGGTAAGAAGACACATTTTTTTTTTTTAGTTTAGCTCTTCACCCGTCCCTTCAAGCCACGACACATCTGCTATTACATAAGAGATTGATCTTCCTGCCGCAGAGACTATAAACCTTAAATTATCCATGTATCGTTTTGGGTGGGGGGAGCCTATTTTATCGGGTGCGAACTTTTAGGCTTTTTCTTAGGCACGCCTACACCTGTGCCCGAAGCGTGTATGCCATCTTTCATAGACATCCAAGCTTCATCTTGAAAATTCTCTACCATTTTCCATTTATCTCGTTAAAGCTGATAGTTCGACATACAGATTGTCTCGAGAACACTATTTGGATTTCACTAGGTCACCAGAGAGTTACACAAAACCCGAGTGATATTCCATGATTCATTGTTTTTCGAAGACTTTGGTTCTCTTAAGATTAGTTCGGACCATCCCCCAAAACTTGTTAATCACTAGACAGTTAATTTTCGAGTTATTACTTTTATCTCTAAGGCTCTGTTCGGACGGTGTGTATGCTAGTGTAGTATTTGAGTATTCGGATGGCCTAAATTATTGGTTTTGATACCATGAATACGCCACAAAATACCTCTGGAGGTATTTATTTCCCGTTGTCTCGTATCTTCATGCCTCTACCCAAAAATATCTCAACTCCATCTACTTTAGTCAGAGCAGCTCTTTCTTACGCTCAATAGAGCTTACGGAAAAGGCCCAAAATGACACACTTTCTGGTACACTTGATGTAGAGTAACACATAATTCAAAACGACACACTTAATTCTACGATGCAAAATAACACAGTTCAAAACTTCGGGCCCTTTTAGAAGAACCCGTCCTCTTTCATGATATAAGGCCCGACCTACATCATACGATAGATATCTTAGTTACAAGAAATGACTTCCAGAATCTTACCTTCCATTTGTTTTGCCAGCAGAACTATAATAATAGTTCGTCAACGGGTACATACTCTAAGTACAGTGCCGAATTTTGTGTTGATAGGTTACTATCAACGGGTCAAAAAGGCCCTCTAGTTCCGAATTTTATAGTAGTAGTGCGTCAACGGGTTCTTCTAAAAGGACCCAAAGTTTTGAACTGTGTCGTTTTGCATTATGTGTACAGTGTTACTCTACATCAAGTGTACCGGAAAGTGTGTCATTTTAGACCTTTTCCGTAGATCTTATTGATGACGTTTACTACCAGAACCCTCTCAGCCACTTGGAATCAAATTCTAATCGGTAAAAAAAGAAGACCTGTCAACTATGGTGAACAGTAGATATCGATCTATATTATGTGGGTCTCATTTACGTATCATAAGAGGAAAACAGAAACCATAGCTATGTGGAGCTTCATGTCTAAGTTAAAGGCGAGTTTCCAAAACAATTTATTTTGGCTATCATGATAGAAATGACTAATGAAAAATGCTATTCGCTAATTATAACTAATAAAAAAGATAAAGTCCATGTCCCATAAACCACTCGCCAATTAAAACAAATAATAGCTTAAACCGATGCCATCATGTCCGCAGAGTAATCAGCGTCCGCCATATATGTGGGCTCTTCATAATACGCTATACTCGTGTCAGAAGAACCCTAACCAAACATTCCGCCTAGAGACTCAAGTATACCTCCAGCGTCAGCCCCGCCCATTAAATCCTCTCCACCTCCACAGTCACCACCATAGTCCTCATATCCGCCTGTATCAGCGCCGTACTCTTCATAGCCCCCAGTGTCAGCACCATATTCTTCGCCTCCGCACTCACCACCAGTACCATCATCAGCAGCGTATTCCTCACCAGTGTATCCTTCCTCTGCATAGCCTTGGTCTGCACCACAGTCACCACCAGAATACTCTTCGCCACCAACATACTCTTCGCCAGCATATTCTTCACCAGCATACCCTTCCTCTACGTATCCACCCTCAACGCCACATTCCTCTCCACCCGTATATCCCCCTTCAGCATATCCGGCATTCGGATCCTCATAACCTGTAGTGTAATCCGCTCCAGCATTCGGATCTTCGTAGCCGGTATTGTAGTCAGCACCCGCATTGGGGTCCTCGTATGCGGCATATTCTGTGCCCGCACCTGCATTCGGATCTTCATAAGCAGCAGAGTTTTCATAACCAGCGTTGGGATCCTCATAACCAGCATTAGGGTACTCATAGCCAGCGTTAGGGTCCTCGTAACCAGCGTTGGGATCTTGGTAACCAGCGTTGGGGTCTTCATAACCAGCATTAGGATCCTCGTATACTGTAGTGTCCTGGTACGTTGTGGTTTCCTCATACGTAGCATTGTTCTGACATGTTGATGGGTCTTCATATACTGTAGTATCCTCATATATTGCTGTTTCCTGATATGTTGTAGTATCTTCATACGCGGCAGTATCCTGGTATGCACCTTGGTCTTCATATCCCGCACCAGTTGTTTCGGTAGCCGCAGGATCTTCATAGTACTGGCCCTCTGCTGCCACTGGGTCTTGATATCCTGCATCTGTTGTTCCGGCAGCTGCCGGGTCTTCATAATACTGGCCATCCGTTGTAGTGGGATCTTGATATGCCGTGGGGTCTTCGGCGTAGGTTTGGTCTTGTGCAGTGCCCTGGTCGGCATACGCCGTTTCCGTGTAGGTTACTTCGGTGTAGGTAGTCTCTACGACAACCTCCTCTTGCACGACGGCCTCTTCTTCTACGGCAGGCTCTTGCTCTGCTGCATACGGATCCTCTCCCGTACCTTCCTCGGCATACGTGCCATCATCTTGTGCTATTTCTCCCTCCTGACCTTGCTGGGGGTCTTGGGCTTGATCCTGTGGTGGATCTTGTTGGGGGTCTTGTTGCGGGTCCTGCTGCGGATCTTGCTGCTGTGGATCTTGTTGTGGATCTTGTTGTGGATCTTGTTGTGGATCTTGTTGTGGATCTTGTTGTGGATCTTGTTGTGGGTCCTGTCCCTGTCCCTGCTGCGCTTGTTCCTCCTGCTGCTGTTGCTGCTGCTGTTCTTGCTGCTGTTGCTGCTGCTGTTGTTGCTGCTGTTGCTGCTGCTCTTGTTGCTGCTGCTGCCTTTCTTGCTGATTCTGTTGCATAATCATCCTCTGCGCACTTTGCATCATACTCTGCTGCATCATACTTTGCTGCTGTTGTTGCTGCTGGTTCTGCTGCTGGTTTTGCTGGTTCTGCTGACCCCGGCCCATCATTATCCGTTGGGCAGCAAGACCAGCGCTCTGCATCATATTCTGGCGCCGCATCTGAGATTGTTGTTGTTGCAGGAACTGTTGCTGCTGCTGGATACTTTGCTGCTGCATTTGCTGTTGCATCTGTTGCTGTGCGAGTTGCTGTTGCTGCTGCTGAATTTGCTGCTGTTGAATCTGCTGCTGCTGTGTGAGCTGTTGGTTCTGCAAGAGCGCTTGCTGCTGTGCAAGCCCTTGATTCTGCGGCAGAACTTGCTGCTGTGACCCAGTTTGTTGGGTTTGCAAAGGCACCCCACGGCCAGCTCCCGGTCCCATGGGAGAGGAATTAAGTAGCCCAGTAGGAAGACTAGGCATGTTAGGCAGGCCAGATCCACGACCCATAGATGAGGTTCCAGCTCCACGACCAAGAGGTTGCATAGGACCTACCCCACGCCCAGCAGATTGAGGACTTAAGCTTTGTGTCATGGGGGGTTTACCATTCCCACGTCCTGTTGGGCCATGCTCTGAGGCCTGTGGCAATCCAGCCGGATTGAGTGGACTTACGCCAGGTGCAGGTGTTGATGCTGATGGATACTGTCCAGTTCCACGCCCCATAGAAGGCGTTGGAGTTTGTCCTTGTGGTGCCGGAGGTTTTCCACGTCCAGCCGCTTGAACGGGGCTTGGACCATGTGCATTAAGAGGTTGTGCATATGGAGTAGGGCTTTGCCCTGTTCCACGTCCCATCGGGGTAGCATGAGTTGCTCCACGGCCAGCTGGATGCGCAGGGCTTGGTCCATGCCCAATAGGAGCGTGACCTACACCACGACCAGCAGGTATTTGACCTGCAGAATCCTGTGCTATGCCTCTTCCTCTTCCCGCTACTACTCCTCTTCCAGCACCTAAACTCATTCCGCCTCTTACCATTGCTCTACCCCTACCTACAACTATCGTAGTCTGTGCCGGTGGTGGGACCCCACCAAAATCGGCGTGCAAGCCTTCCATCTGCTGCTGATGTGCACCCTCGCCCTGATTTACTGGAGGCAGAACGCCGCCAAAATCAGCATGCAGGCTTTCCAGTTGCTGCTGATGAGTACTGGGACCCTGATTTGCTGGAGGAATACCGCCGACATCAGCGTACATATTCTCCGTGTGGTCTTGTTGTGCATTAAATGCCGGTTGTGGGTGCTGGTAATCATGTGTGTTCAGCCCCTGTTGTGGTTGATAATCTTGTGAATTAATCATTGGCTGTTGTGGTAATGGGTTCTCTCCACTGACGAAGGTTGGGATTCCTCTCTCACCCACTACCGGGACACCTCTACCTCTACCTCTACCTCTTCCCCTCCCGACAGCTACCCCTCGGACCGGTCTACCTCTTCCCGCAGTTGCTCCTCGGGATGGTCCTCCCCGCCCTCCTAGACTACCACCTCTAAGCATTTTTCCTGCGGTTGGACCGGCGACCATTAGGATTCCTGTACTAACGCCGCTAGGGTCCATACTAGCTATAACTCGGGCAGCCCCCATAACACCTGCTGCCATTGGCGCGCTCAAGCCACCTCTCGCTTGTCCGCCATCAGCAGCGCCTCTTCCTCTGGACGCAACAACTCCTCTAGTGCCCCCTCTTCCAACGACTATACCACCTCTTGCTGTGGCTGTGGCGCCGCCCCTTACTGCTACTATGCCGCTGCCCGCTCTACCAACCGTGCTACCACCTCTTGTAGTCACTGCAATGGCTCCTCTAGTGGCAATGCCGCGACCTCTTGCAGCCATCACCGTGGGACCTCTACCTCGTACCATGACTCTTGTACCGCTACCCATCATTCCGGAAGACTGCAGCTGCGCTGGGGCTTGTTGAGCTTGCTGAATTGGGGCTTGCTGAACTGGAGCCGGCTGAGTCTCATACTGAAACTGTGGCTGTGGCTGTGGCTGTGGCTGTGGTTGAAGTTGAGGTTGAGGTTGAGGTTGAGGTTGAGGTTGAGGTTGAGGTTGAGGTTGAGGTTGTTGTTGAACTTTGGTCGGAGCAGGCTTCTTCTTTACCTTTGGAATAAAGAAGTTGCCTTTCTCCTCAAGAGCCTTCCTGGCAGCTAGAGCGCTAGCCTTCGCCATAGTACTGAAACCCTCTGCAGCCTTCAAAGCACCAGCAGAAACTGTGTCCTGCTTTGGTGCTTTTCGAGGTCGCAGAATCGAGGTTGAATGAGTTGATCTAGTTGTTGTCACTGTTTTATGGGGATTAATTGTGGATTCGAGGGTTAACGGCCGGTATTGAAGGTGAGTGGATGATCTTGGGAGTGGATTGGTAGTCTGCTGATTCGTGAATACGGGCATGGATTGCCTGTTTTGGAGGGTATGTTGTTGCTGTGCTTGCTGCTGAGGTACCTGTTGTTGAGGTACCTGTTGCTGATACACCTGTTGCTGCGGCGCCTGTTGTTGCTGATTCTGGTACTGCGGGACAGGCTGTTGCTGTATTTGGTTTTGCTGCACCTGATACTGCTGCTGAACTGGATGCTGCTGTTGAACGGGATGCTGCTGCTGAACCGGATGCTGCTGTTGGACCGAATTATGCTGCTGCTGTGCATTCATATTCCCCGGATGTGGAGTCTGGCTAAGATAAGTAGGGCCCGCACTTGCACTCTGTGGAACAGCCTTCCTCGGCTTGATAACGTTCAGATTGCCATAACTAGCAGACTGAGCTTGATACCCAGCACCCGGCGTAGCAGACCTCATACCGCCGTACTCCAGCGGCGTCTGCGTCATCGAAGCAGCCGACATCACCGAAGACTGGCTCGGGCTCCTAGCATGCTGCAAAAACGGCACATTCTTCGGCCCTGGTGGTACCTGTGGCATAGGGTGCTGTACATTCTGGACCTGGGAGGTTGCCGTCAATTGCGGCGGCGGCGACAGAGTGGGTACTCGGGCATTCGGCGTCTCGTGGGATTGAGACGCGGGGGGTGCGCTTATGCCGCTGGAGACAGTGATGTCTGTAAACATCCTGTCTTCGTCTGTGAAGCCTGTGAATTTTGCTGAGAGCTTTGGGGGCTCATCTTCGCGCTCGGAGGAAAGCATTAGCCCAGTTTCGAACCTTGGTTGTTGCTGTGGGGTAGCAGCAGCCTGCGGTGGGACCTCGCTGCCGGCGACTTCAGCGAATCCGAACGGGTGCGGTGTGGCTGTTGCGGAACGGAGACTTATGGGTCTACGATGCGTGCTGAGAGGTGAGACGGGAGTGTGAATGGGGTCGTATGTGGGCTGCTGCTGCTGCGCATACTGGTGTTTGTGGGCGGGAGTTTGGCTCATTTGTCTCTGATGTTGTTGGGACCATTGTTGCTGGTTCTGATTTTGGGGCTGCTGCTGGTGCTGTTGCTGTGGTTGCTGATATTGGTTATGTGGGCTCATTGCGGGTACTATGATTCCGCGCTGGCCATATATGGGCTGCTGTTGCTGCTGTTGGGAGTACATGCCAATTGAGCTTGCTGGGGGCGTTGGGAGCGCTTGGTTTGGCTGGGCTGTGACAATTACAATCATGGGATATCAGATATGCTCAGTAATTCAAATATTGATTAATCATAGTAAAAAATATAAGTCTCCAAATTTCTTCGAACACAACTCCATCGTGTATACAGTTATTCACCCCTCAACAACCTCATCCGGATAAGAAAATATGAAGATAGGAGGACAGAGGGACAGAGAAATCACCACTCACGATGGTCCCACGATACCACTCCCGTTTCTGTATTATGGAAATAGTACTTCTGCTGTCCCTGATCCCAGTATGCCAACCATCCCTGGGGCACCACTGGCGGCTGAGGTATCTCAGATGGTCCTCCATATGGGCGTGGTGTACTTGAGAATCCTGGCTGTTGCTGCTGCTGGTTCGCTTGGTTTGCTTGATACACTGGGTTCACTACCGCGGCGGGATACTGCGGATCGGTGAAGATCATCTTGCGACGGGAAGATAGAGTTGAAAGCTAGAGAAAGAAGGAGTGTCGTAGAGACAGGTATTCGATATCGACCCTCTCCCGAGAGATGGAATGGGTACTGCCGTGTATTACTGCCTGTATTCGACCTAGGCACAAATGTGATAAGCTGAGCACAAGTAGGCTGATATGATAAGTACGCGACCGCCCAGGTTCTTCTGAGAGAATGAAAACCACACTTCCTCAACACGAACACAAACGACGAGACGGAAGAGCTCCAAGGCCGAAAAATGAGGAGAAGGAAGAAAGAAAAAAAAGAAAAAACGACCCACCAGTCAGAATTATAATGCGCATCAGCCCAGCCCAGACGCTCACACAATGATGCGGGGCTTAGAAGCTATCTGTTAGGTACTCGAGAGGTACATACATGTAGCTAGGATATTATGGTGGTACAGGTATTTCAGCCGCAGCCAAGGGGGTCCCGGGCACTCTGGTGATCCTACATCCCCTCTCCGCCTCTATGTAACCAGACTAACAGCCACGGCGTTTATAGGTTGCGTCGAGATTTCATGTGTCCTGTTTTGAGGAGTGGGTGGTGGGGGTGTGGGATTGATTGATTGACTGACCGAGCGAGTGCTAGCACCGCCGTTTAAGGAACATTAACCGAGTCCTCGGCAAGGCTTAGTTGCACCTTTGTTTCCTTGCCCTTTCTCTTACTCGCTCTGCCATACAAATAACCTCATTGCATGTTCTGGTTCTAACCCTCATACCCGTGTATGCTCTCCTGCATATTGCCGGTAACGAATCCACCCAGCGCAAAGTGCAAACAACAATCTCCTCATTCTCAGCAAGCCGATATACATCCGTTCCCAGCGCACCGTGAAAGGAAACCCATTCGAGGGGAGGCTGTGTTACTGTCGTACAGCAGCTGTGGATACCGTGGTGTGTTGTACGGGGGTCAGGGTCGTACAAGAGGTGGGTAGTTCCGCAGGGGTATTAATAGATGTAGATGATCGTGATTGGTGATTGGTGAATGTCAGGGTTAGGGTCGCAACTGTAGCCGTTGGGTAACTTGTATTGTTTTGGCTGGACGGCTACGAATTGGCCGAGACATCTGGTATCTGTTGAGAACCTCCCGCGCGGGCAATTGTTGGTGGATGTTCTGGGTTCTTTGGGGCCCTGGTTTAGGGAAGGGCCAGTACATACTGTGAATATTAATGCGCTCATGAGAGCTACTCATCTAACTTGCATACTTCTCATTGGATATGAGGCCTTCAACCACAAATCCCAAAATATACCGTAGCTCTGGCAACGTACGTATTGTTGGGTGATAAAAGTTCTCGTGATTTTGTACGAGGATGGGTCATGAAACGACTACAGCTCCACGACCACAAAAGATATAAAGGAGATACTTATGTGATTAGAGAGCTGAAAATCGATAGAACATACCTCCTAGGTATGAATCCCGATTACCGACTTTGTGGAGAAAATCACGAGAACTTTTGTCACCCGACAATGCCCTCGAGAAGAACCGATACTCGTCCCAGAGTGTAGTGCCGAAATTCCGTTGCAGGACCTATAGGTTAAGTATGGGGCTAATCACACATACACACCCCCATAACCGCAGTGGCAGTTCCGTAGAAATATCGCCCGAATTGTCCTCAATCTAATGAAAACAAAATGGTGATGGATCATGGAATATCACTCGATTTTGGTTGTGGCATCGTGACTTTAGGCATTTGCTTGCACGAGGATCGTACAGAGGGGAATATGAGAGCGTTTTTATGCTGATAGGTTTGTGCCAAGGAGCTAGGTGTGTATGACTCCATCTTGACATATACTGCGACGGTTCTCCACAGATTTTGCAAACTATGACCGCTCTCTGACGTGACAGGCAGGACACTGCTCCCAGGTTCGCACCTGATAACCAAACTAGATGGAGCTTCTTTAGACAGCTATTTAAAGAGATATATATATAGCTAATTAGCTGCTGCTAGCCTTAATTTAGTGACAGGTTATGTGCTGTGTCGCCCTAGCTATAGATCGGTACCGTATATAACGGTGACCCTTTTAGCATAAAGCGCACCAAAGTATACGATAGATCGAATTCAAAGCCTCAGAGGCAATTGCGCAGAAGAATGGGGTATGACATTTACGCACGCTTACGCATTCTCTGCTTTCTATCTCACGAACAATGTCTGAAGAGCGCGACATGGTTTTCAAAACGTATATACGTTCAACTATATATCATCACAAGCTTATATCCGAGTAGTATACCTGATAGAAGCGGTATATTTTCCTGGGTGTCGATTTTATATATCGTCGGTACTCCTATACATGCTAGTGGCCATTACAATATGTATTTTCTAGACCGTTGGTAAAACGGTAGAATATCGAACATTTACTATGGTGTCTATCAGTCAATCAGAACAGGCCGATAAATATATTTACCTGTTCAATTCTCTGCGTTTTAAGCTCACTTGTCTTTTTTGTTTAAAGAGAATCAAAGACTGGCTACGGTAGGCCTGGAACCAGCGGGATTGTAAGAATGTTTTCTAATCCTAGTTTCACCAAGACCCTTCCCTCGGCCACACATTTGCTTCTCCGTATTTTTGTCAACAAAAGATTTAAAGGTCAATTGAGCTAAAGGTTCACAAAATAAAACCCTAAAGAGAAGTGAAAAAGAAATGCGCCGTAAGGGACTCGAACCCTTCCCAGTTGCTTGCTCTGCTTCCCGATAAGGATAACAATGGAAGGCAACTATGCTACCCCTGCACCAACGGCGCTTGAGATTTTCATCACTTTTTACCATACCTCAACTAAAAACTTAGGCTGGCGCTAGTGCAAATTGGGAATAGTCGGACCCTTGGATCTTGAGCATGATGTTTGTGAATTTGAGGCTGGAGGTTTCAGTAAACACGCAGACTGTTTTCTTTATATAGCTTTGATAGTATTATGGTGATAAGTCGATCCAATAAAAATAATGATTTACCCCCAAAGAGCTCGTGGCCGGCCCATCTAGGAGAAATCACATGTAAATTGTCAATATCAAACTTTTCTAGTTAATTATAAGCATTCTGTTATCCCATAGTCCGGTGATGCTGCCCCCCCTATAATACAGAAATTAAATTTGTATGGGACATCTATTATTTGATAAGTGAGATAACAGCATCTGTTAGTATAGCCACACACAATTTCCTTTTTTTTTTGGGGGGGGGGCAGCATTTTTCGCGCCAGACGAAGGGATAGGTGACTAAATTGATTATAAACACAAATACCTCCGTAGTTGTTGTTTTCATGAGGCCTCCTTTTGGATTGTGGTAGCGATATTCTAGATAGAAATCTAGTACTGTTTGCAGTTCTTGTCCTTTTCAATACCACAAACGGGGTTGCGAATACCGCGAGAAAGAATATCTTGATAGTCATAGTTCTCAGGGTATGACACCATTGACGATTCAGAACCACAACCACAACTTCATTTAACTGTCCAGTTATTGAAAGTACTATGCGAGGGATACCCAGATAAACTCCGACCAAGATCGATACCGGGAGAACAACGGCAATATGAAGAGATTACGATACCATAGGTCCCAGATATCTCAAAATGCCTAATAAGATCATCAAAGAGGATCTACAAAGGGTGCGGTATCGCTCAAAGTCTTATTTTGAGGTCTAGGTTAGGAGATCACAGCTGCCACTGAGATCCTGAAACCTTCCCTTCATAGTCACCTATGGCCGACCCCCAGATTTTGGTCTCTAAACATTTCCAATTAAGTGCATACCACATGATTTCAGGAAACCTGAATATTAGTTTTTAATCGGTGCCTGGGAATATTAGTAAAAGAAATTGGCTTTGATCTCTTCTCAAAGCTGTTTAAGTCCGTTCCCCTCCTAGCGGTTTATCTTTTTTTTGGGGGGGGCAATTAATCCGATATCTTGTATACTCCAAGACAAAGGGGTCCCTTTGTGCTCTTCGGGGTGTGGGCTTATCCACGGGGGCGAAAAATAATTAATGAATTAAACAAAAATAAAAAATAAAGAAAAACGGGGGCGAAAAATCACCTCTGTTTGCCTCTATCTGCCCCAAGAGCAGGTATCGTTCGAAGTGGCAAGGGGTCGAGTTTTGGTGGCGTAGAATTTCTAGAGCTATTTTATCTCTTTTGAGGACGTGAGAAGTTCTCTTGCGAATACCATTTTTGGCGTGGGTTGCGTCATGAAAACTCACTCGATATTCCAGTGGGGGTCAACCAGGCGCAAATCCTCAGACAGTTCACTTCACATCACCTATCAGATACTTAAAGTAGAATCTTAAAAACATTATGTCTGTGATATATATAGTACCCACGGACCCTGCGGTCCGGTTAACGGACTCCACTGTCCAAAGGTATGCACTCGAGCTCCTCATACCCCGGGCTTGACAATCCCTAGCTCTTCATTGGCTCGCACAACCACCACCACGAGAATCCTCACCTGTCGATCCTCTTGGCAGAAGGTCTGCGTGCTATTGGCCGGCCTAACATCACTGCCATCTCCCCGCAAAAACGCCCCCACCTTCGATGTCCACTGCCTTCGCTGCGGCCGCGTTCGTGATTCCCGGTTTCTGCAGAGGTAGATCTCCGGCTCGGACCCTATCGATTTGCAACTTGCATAATTCAGGTTATCTGTATGTCAACAGAAAAGGGCTCGCATATAATGGCGATATTTAGGCCAATGATTGACCCCGCCAAGGATAGGGAGAAGGAACGTCCAGGTACCGGCGACTGAAACGGGCATCTAGTTACTGTTTAGGTATGTGATTCAGGATAGCTCAGCTAAATTAGGTGGAAAGATAATCGAAACGGGCCCAACGGCGGATACGATCAGGTGGTGAATTACTAGTAGTCGAAAAATTGGGTTTGCCTAGCCATTCGCGGGGCAGCCACATCCGCTGTGTAAACGCATTTGGTTTTTGATCTGCTGTTAAGTGAAGTACATTCCGTCTGCTATCGTCAGATCATTCGAGTCAGTAGAAATTAGTCATTTTT